AAAAGAAAGGAAGAGTTGAGCAAAACACTGGATTTGAGTAGGTGATAAGTACCTCAGACGATCACAAGAAAATAATCAAGAACATGGATGGATAAATTCCTCAGATGGTTAGGAAGAAGAAGGATATCCCAGAAGGGTTGACTCTTAATGAGAAGAGGTTTCTAGCAAAGGTTCTTTGGAGAACATGGTGCATTTTAATTTTTTTTTTTTTTTTTCATTTTCATATAGTGCACTTGTATATTTTTAGATACAGTATATTCTTTCCTTTTATTTTTCCTTTTCCCTTTTGTAGTTTCTTAAATTCAGTTCCTTGGAGGATAATAAGCAGTGGCAATCTGTTGGCAATAATAGATAAGTTAGAAGGGTCTTCACTCAAAACTTAGTTCAAAGTGAAATATTGTCTCCAAGGTTGCACTTAGAAGCTGAAGCTCTTTTGAGAATTGTAAGCTATTGATGAGTATGTCAGTATGAGTCTTTTAGTTTAGCCATGATACAATTGCCCTATGTATCTTTATTAGTTTTCTTAATAATTAATAAACACACATTACTGGCCTGACTATGGATATTAAAAAAAAAAAAATAACTTTGTAATATTTCTTTATGGGATAGATAGGTAATAGAACATTGGCTTTTTTTTTTCAGAACTTTTTTGCCATAGGTAGGAAAAGTGTTTTATGATTATTCAGATCATTAGTAGTTAAGTTTTTGTTTGAAAGGAATATAGATAAGAGGAAAGAGAGTAAGGATAGCTTTTGAGAAGTTTTTTAGAATAGTTTAAAAAGAGTAATAAAACTTTGTTAGTATAAAAGTATAAAGTGCTTTTTTACAAATATTTTTTTTATGTATAATTAAAGAATTATTAGAGAAAGTAAATTGTGAAATTATATTATATTACATACAAAAAACCTTTATAAATAATAAATAATATATTTCTTAATTAAAATAATATTGAATTAAATATAATTGAAATAAGAAATGGAAGTAAGTTATCATATCTGGTGAATCAAGATTTATTTTATTCAAATTAGATAAATGAATAAAAGTGTGTAGAAAAGTAGAAGAGAGTTATAACAAAAATGATATTAAGTTTACTATTAAGTTTAACAGAATGTTTATAATATTTTGGAATTGGTTTAGTTAATATGGAATTGGATTATTAGTAGTAATTAAAAAAAATATAAATTCTAATATATATGTTAATTTTTTTGTAAATTATATATTTGTAATAATCCAAATATGACATTTCAATAAGATTAAATCCTATATTATATGTAGTTTTGATGATAAAAAATAATAATTGTTTTTTTTTTAAAAAATCTTATTAATTTATTGATTTTTTTTTAGTGTATTTTTGTTAAATTTGATATAAATAGTTTCCATATAATGTAAAATAAAATGAATGGTGGCTTGATTGGCATAAGTATTACACAATCACAAAAAGACATTAGTTAATTAAAATATTTTAAAAAAGTGAAATTCATAAAATCACAGCTTTTTAAAAAACTACTAAGTATTTATCAAAACATTATATAGAAAGACTAAATAGCTTTAAAAAACTGATGATCAGAAGCAAAGATATTATTTGATTAATCATTTTTTTTTTTTTTTTTTAATTAGTTGTATTGACTATGCTTTATTGATCAATTATTAAGAAATTATATATTGTTATTTTACAAGAGTGATTCTTATATCTAATCTATACTATTCTAAACCATTCAATACACCCTTAGATTTTACCTGATATAGATACCATCCTGTTAACTAACCTGCTGTGCCTAGGCATTCCTGATGTTCCAAGGATCCACCAGGGAACTTTTTTTTATATTCAGGGAGCTATTTGGAATTGTTCGATTCGTGGGATTTGTTATATTTTATGGGGTATATGTTTTATAATTAATATCCTTTTACCATGCTTAGTTCTTAGAAAGTTAGTTGTCCATTGATATTTTTTAGTTTCCATGCAGTCCTATCAAGTTTCCTAGCAGCCATTGGTGAATCAAATTGATGATTGTAGTCTTCTAGTGACCATTTTTAACCACTCTTCAAATATGGGCTTTCCAGGGGTGTCTCTTGGTTACTTTGTAATGGATTGCTCCTTCCATTGGATTGGTTACCTTGATAATTGTTTCTGAATTTCTTCTTCCAGGGTTTACCCCTGTAATCCTCCATTGTGATTATTCAATTTCATCACTTATTATTGGCAACCCGCAAGGTTCAATCTTTGGTAACCATTGGTGATAGTAATTGAAGATCTCCCAGTATGTGTTTTATCCTTATATTTTGTGATTGGTACATGTGACCAAAGTCTCCCAGACCTCCCATGAGATTGGGGTTTTTGAGAAAAGGTAGATTCTATATGAGGTCAATAGGTTCCTGAGTTTTATCATTGTCTTTTTTGACATTCTTAATATTTGTGCATATTTCAAGCAGCAGGATATTGTGGCTTGTTTTCCTAGTACTAAAACTGATCAGAACCTGTGTGACCTGATTTATGATACTGTGATTAGATGATGGGTTTCTATAGATTGTTTTTATATTTAAGTATGCATATGACTAATTAGTATGCATTATTGTACTACATAATTTATAATGTAAATACTGTTCTAAAGTGGGATTGAACCAGTAACTTGCGAATGGTGACCTGGAAGTACACCCATTGCACTATTGATTCACAGGTCGATTAATTAATTTATTTATCCTTTTATAGAAATGTTATTTTAATTAGATCATGAAGTTCAATAAATATATAATTAGTAATAAATTAGTAGAAATTCTAAAAAAAAACTTATTTTAATTTTAATATTATATTTAAAACAATAAAAAAAAACCTTTAAAAGCTTGGATACAAAGTTTGTATTTCCTATCCAATCCCTCTTTTTATTAAAATTTGCAAGAAATATTATATTGTTTAGATAAAAACTCATAAAAAAAAATATTAAAATAAAATTGGTTTTCCTATCCAATCCCTCTTTTTATTAAAATTTGCAAGAAACATTATATTGTTTAGATAAAAACTTATAAAAAAAAATATTAAAATAAAATTGGTTTTCTGATTAATTAATATTTCAACTGTTCTAAATATAGTTAAGGTTTATTATAAGGAGGATGAGTCAAAATTAAAGCAGATATTTATAAAACATCTATTTAAAATTTATATTTGGAAAGTGTTTTATATAAAGGAAATAATCAACTTTTATATTTTTGAAAAAAATATGAATAGAGAGTTTTATAATAGTATTTTGATTAATAATTTGTTTACACAAATATAACAGATTCTTGATAACATATAGAATTATCAACAAGATAATAATTTGAAGCACTGAGTCAAGTTTATAATTGTCCTTCTCAATGAACATTGTCTTTGTCTTCTTAATTGATTATTTTATTTTTTTAATCTTAATTTAATTGAAAATTTGTGATTTTTAATAAAAAAAAAAAAGTGAAAAAAAGTGTTAATATTATGATAAGCAAGAAAAAAATAGTAACAAAAGATACTTTTATGTTGTTGGTCACATCAAAATAGAAAAAAATTGATAGAAACTTATGCCTTAATTTAACAATGTCAATATCAAAACATATAAAATTGATGTTATGGAAAAAGGATAAACAATTAAATATTGACTCAATAATAAAGTTTTTAGTTTGTATGATGAGCTGCAATAAATATTAAGACATCATCATTTTAAAATAAAAATTGAAAAAAAAAAACAATAAAAATTAATTTTCAGTTTTTACAAAGTTCTGATTTGAATCCAATTAAATACTTGTGTGACTATCTGGATCATCAAATTCGAAAAAACAAGATTTGATTAGGGTCGCACAAGAAGAATAAATATAAAGACTCTACATCACCTAATTTTAAGTGCTCCGAAACATATCAAAGATGTTATTAAGGCTAAAGGCGAGCATATTAAATATTAGTTTTTTGCCTTCAAGATTTTTTTCATAAAGAATACGTTTTTTTTTGATGTCAGATTTTTTTTTATCACTTTAATAAAAAAATATTGTTTTATCTAAATTTCAAAAATTGTCGTTTTATTTATCATATAACGATTTCTGGTAATTTATGTTAGTAAATTTCTATCTGACTTGACTGCGGATAATGCAAAAAAAATTATTGTTATTATTATATACTGTAAATAAAATTCATATAATAAATCTCAAAATTAAAAGTTTACTATAAAAATAATTAAATTATTTTTGTAAAATATTTATTTAACAATTATCATGTTCTTTCGGGAAAGCGAAGATACTGCAAGTAATCTTGTGTAAATACAAAATTAGGAAACCCAAAACATCGATTTGCATTTATACAATTTATTCAATTGTGAAAATAGAGTACTAAATCGCTGCATTTCATTAACTCCTAATATGCTTTGGTATTGAATCTATTGAATCTACAAATTTAAATCGTCTGGAATACACATGCAGAAAAATCACCTCTTCCAAGTTAGCCCTGCTCATTTTAACTTCATATATCTTCAACTAGACCAAGATCTGGTGGCTCAGTTTTCTCGAATTAAATCTGTCCATTGATACAATCTTTCTGTACGAGACATTGTAGAAGATATGTTGGTCTAGGAAACATTCGTGCGTAAAAGCATTGATGTTTAAGTTTTCTTTAAATAGCGAATAGATTAGCTAGTTTCAATCCAGTAATATAGATTTACTGTTATTCGCAGACATTCCTTCTTTATTTTTTTCCGTTTATTTACATCCTGTTTGAACAAAAATGGAAATCTTCTATAAATAGCGGTAGTCTTTTAATGCAAATTATAACTTAAAAAAAGATTTGCGCAATCGTCCTAATTTTGTGCTACGCGCGCGTCCGTATTCTTGTTACAACAAAATCAAAAATTTATGTCACAAAAAAATCAAAAATAAATTACACATCGCTTACAATTATCACGCTTAATAAAAGAATTAAAATTCAGTTTGATGTTTATTAGGTATAATCTTTAAATTGTTTATTACATTATTACATATTATTTTAAAAATATTTATTTCCCGGTGGACCCAAAGCCGCCATTCCCACGATCCGTTTCGTCTAAACTCTAAATAATTAACAAAATATAAGGACTAAAGATCTGACATACAAAGCACATTTATACTCCTGTTTACCTCGACTTCAATAACATGCGGAGTATATATTCGTTCAAGAACTAGTTGGGCGATACGGTCCCCTTCGTTAACTAGATAAATCAAAATTCAAACCTAGCGGTTAACAAGAAAATAACATAAAATAAAACCCTTACACTTTCTGTAACCACATACCTTGATAATCGACATCACTAAAGTTAAATAAAAGTACACCGAGCGGTCCACGATAGTCAGCGTCAACAACTCCGGCACCGCAGTCAATGAAATGTTTTAGTGCTTTTTTCAATAGATAAAACATATAAATTTCATGTTACATAAATATTTGTGGATAAAACTCCAAGTTTGATCTATGCTTACCAAGTCCACTCCTTGGAGCGACACGCCCATAAGTTCCTAATGGAACTGCAATGGAAAGATCTGTGGGAACTACAACCTTCCCCCTAGCCGGGACAATCATATTTGCGGCACTATATTCATTAAAAATAAACGAAAATTAAAAAAGTTCGCTTAAGAAAAAAGGCGAATGTACTGTATATAATAATAATAATAATAGCACCTGTACAAATCATAGCCAGCAGCAAGTTTAGAACCACGAACCGGTATCCTCGCTCTATCGCTAAGACGTTTAACGCGCAACTCTACAGACGGATCAATGGAAGAGGTACAGCTGCTGACGGTATCAACCTTTCGTTTCTTTCGTTCTTCGACAACCATTATTATAATTATTTGGAGTTTAAAAAAAAAAATTGGGTAAACGTTTTGATCGGATTCTTACCTTTATATAGTAAATCGGGATTTACAATTTCGTAAGCTAATTTTAGTAGTTTATTTAGTTCTAATTATACGCGTCCCAGAAAAATAACATTTGTTTGTTTTCGTAAACAGGAAATCACGCTTTCTATTTATTTGATTAAGGTTTTTTAAAGTCGAAAATTTATATTGGAGCTGTTGACAAACGGTACTATACGCTTTTTAATAATAATATTGATTTATAAGAAAAAAAAAATAAAAACAAATTAATAAAATTTTTTGTTTAAAATAATTGTTATATACATTATGGTTAAATTAAATTTTTCTGAATTATATAAAAAATCATTTAATTACTTTCGAAGGCGGACAGGGTTTAATAATTGCATTCCTAAAATTTATACGGTGCATGTATTATATACAAAAAAGATATTCATAAGAAATTTGGTTACTTCTTTGCTAATAAAGTTTCAATATACTCTTTATAACAACTTGAAAAGTACTTTCAAAAGTTATTAATACCTTTTTCTTTTTGTTTATAATTCTTTTCACTCAATAATTTTATTTCTGATAATTAAGAAAGTCAAGTAATAATTTTATTATTTATAATAAAAAAAGTTTTTTTTAAAAAAAAAAGTGTCAATTGTATAGTATTTGAAAGTTTTTTTTATCTTTGAAATAAATTGTTATAATGAATTGTTATAATAAAAGAACTTATTTTTTCTTTTTTAACTATTTAGAGCTTTTTAAAACTTTTATTTTTTTATTTTTTTTAAGAAATTTTCTTTATTTCAATTTGATAATATAAGTTTTATTTTATTTTTTATTTTATTTTCATTTGAGCAGCATAATACTATAATATATACTATAGCTAAACTATTATTCTAATCTAACTAACTCATTGTATGTATAAAAATCTCTAAGTTCAGTCTTGAGAATAATATTTTGCTCTGCAGTATCTTTGGGTAAAAATCTTTCTAATTCATTGCATCATTGCTAACAAGTTGTCATTGTTATATGTCATACCAAGCTGCTAGAATATAGGAAACTACAAAAAAATAGGTTAAAAAGGAAAGAAAGGATATTTAAAAATATTTAAGTAGACAACAAGAAAATGAAAGAATAAAAATTGAAAAAAATATTTCAGCTTCCTCCAAAAACCTACTTTTCAAGACCTTTTCTCAATAAGAAATGTCAGATTGAAATATCCTTTCTTTTTTTGATTATTTGAAGAACTTATCCATTTTTGATCTTGATTTCCTTTTTGTATACCAGCTAAGGAGATTTATCACCTAATAGGAGTTTTTACTTTCAGAATACACTTGGTCCCAACCTTCTTTGAGCAGTGATTTTTTATTCACCTATGGTAGAGAAATAACTTATAATAGATCTCAGATTCTTATATAACCTAATAAGAATTAGATCATGTTATTTCAGTAATACCTTTCAACAGTTATACTTAATTAAAAGAATTTTACTGATATATATCTTCAATTACCTAAAAGGTTAGATTTATCAATAATTTTTTTATCTTGTAATAATATAAGGGTTTCAAGAGTAGTGGGGATCCTTATTAATTGTGATATTCTTTAATAATTTCTGGAGAAATACATTCTCAATTGTAATTAAAGGGATGGAGTTTAATATAAATTAGAGACTGTTTAGTCTTATTGTCTAATCAAAATAAAAAGAAAGCCTTGATCTTAAACTTTGCTTAACTGGAATAATAGAAGAGAAAAACTTTAGCTTGAATGAATAGCAGTTTTTTTTTCACCTGAGAATTTATTGTTTGTATTTTATTGTCCTCATGAAACTTGATCTGTAGGTTAACCTAATTGGAAAAGTAGTATGAATATGGAGCACTAATTAACTCTTTCTATCATTAATGATATCAATGGAACACATAAAATAGTTAATAAAAGCTTATTTATATTCAGTTACTAACATGTTTCATGTCAATCAATCAAATGCCAGATGACATTGCATTACCAAAAATTTAGAGTCAAACTAAAGTAGACAAAATCTCTCAAGAAAACTATAAAAAACAGTAGATATTTTAAGAAGATATAAGACAATATATGAGAAGGTGGTTAATAAGCCTTCTATTGTTAACAAAATCTCTATTTCTTGTCACTTCCAGTTCTATAAGATAACACTTCACTTGTCAATCCTTTTACTTCTTAGAACCTTCTTGTCCTTAGTAAAGAAAGTGTGTATTTGAGTCTTTTCAGACTATTAAAGACTCAAGTTTTTATTTAAAAGAGTTTATAAACAAGTAAAAAAAAATAAAAAAGATATATAAAGACAAGCTTCAAATTATTTTAATGAAAGTATAAAGACTTTATTAGCAAAAAAAGTATAAAACTTCTTGCAAATATCTTTTTTGTGTGTGGTCAGAGGATTAGTAGAAAGAGTTTTTTATCTCTATTTATTAACTATCTATTCCTTATATAATTTACAAAAAGAAATATTAAGTCATTTTTCAAATATCTAGTCACAAAATAAGTTAGAAAATATATATTAAAAAAATATATATATAAAATGATTGACCTTTATATTAATAAAAAAATAAAATACAAGAAAGAGATTTTACTTAAAACTACTAACTGAATAAAGAATTAGCTAAAAAAGATCCAATAATTAGATAGAAATCTTTTTAATACTATATATAGATATATAAAAGAAAACAAAACCATATTCTTAAAAAACTATCTAAAAAAGTAGTTGAAGATCTTTTTGATAATTATATAGTCTATAATTAGCAAGCTTTGCCAGAAGATACAAAAAAACTTTAAAAAAAAAGATTTAGAACAGTTGCTATGTCAAAGTAATAAATTGGAAGAAGAAGTTAAGTATCACTAGAAAAGAAAAATAAAGAAAGCTTGAATATACAGACTATATAAAACTATAAAGAATCATTGTTATTTTCAATATAAAATATAGAACAAGAAAATAAAAGAAGGGAAAAAGAAAAAGATTATATAAAAATTATTAAAAAATAGATCTATCATGTTATTAAATGATTTTGATTTTAAACTACAAACAAAACTTAAAATAATTTATAGTAATAATCTATAGATAATAATTTTACTAATTTAAGGTTAATCCAAATTAGCAAAGAAGTAAAATATTATTTCTTAGATTGTATCTAAAGAATTGATTTTTCTATAATAAATAAGTTACTATATAAAATTCATAACAATTTTGTAAATATTTTGTATATATATAATAAAGCAATATTATATTAATCTGACTATAGGTTAAAAAAAACTTTATATTTAAAAAATTTTATTTTATTAAATTTAAATTATATATTTATTCTATTTATGATTATTCATTTGCTTATATATTAATATACTATCTATTATAGTCAATATTTTCTAAAATAACTTGATTTTCTATATTATTTTTTTCTTTATTTTTTATTATCAATATTTCAAGTACTTGCAAAGTACAGTTGCTTCCAAAAGATTGAGTCCACTTACTATGTTTTTATTATAAATTTCAACTTTGACAATTTTTAAATCCTTAATTATACAATCAAAAAT